CATTCCTGCTCCTCTGATGCTGCCTGGCCTGCTGTGTTCCTCCAGCTCCACACTGTGTTATCTCTGACTCCAGCATCTGCAGTTCTTGCTATTGCCCAATCTATCCAATCTTTCTCCATAGCTAAAATCCCTCATACCAGGCAACATCCTGATAAACCTTTTCTGTACCCTCGCTAAAGCATCCACATCTTTCTGGTGGTGTGGTTCTATAAAATTGCAACATAACTTGTCGATCCTTAAACTCAATGCTCCTTCCAATGAAGGCAAGCATGCTATAGACCTTTTCTACTACCTTATCTCCCTGTGCTGCCACCTTCAGTGATCTGTGGACCTGTGCACCCAAATCCCCCTGCATATCAGTAACTCTAAGGATTCTGCAATTCCCTTTATAATTTCCACCTGTACTTGACCTTCCAAAATGCATCACCTCACATTTGTCCAGATTAAACTCCATCTGCCATTTTTCTGCCCATGCCCCCAACTGATCTATATCATGCAGTATCCTCTGACAATCCTCCTCACTATCCGCAACTCCACCAATCTTTGTGTCATCTGCAAACGTACTAATTAGAGCAGCTACATATCCTCCAAATTACTTATGTAACATACTTGTAAATTTTTTGCCCCTTTTCCAGTCTAATAATATCCTTCCTATTTCAAGATGACCAGAGTTGTACACAGTACTCCAAATATGGCTTTGCCGATGTCTTGCACAGCTGTAACATGAAGTTCCCAACTCCTGCACCTGGTGCTCTGAAGGCAAGTGTACCAGACACTGCCTTCAACATCCTGACTACCTGTGACCCTACTTTCAGGGAACTGTGTACCTGCAGACCTAGATCTTTCTGTTCAACAACACTCCCCACGCCCCTCCCATTAGTCTGTAAGTTGTGCCCTGGTTTTTCTTCTCAAAATGCAACACCTCTAATTCAGATGAATGTAACTCCATCTGCATTTTCTCAGTCTACTGCCCATTGTACACTGAAATAACCTTCACTGTCCATTATGCCCTCAATTTTGGTGTCATCCGCAAACTTCATATGCTTCATATATACTCCTCCAAATTATTTATATAAATGACAGACACCAGTGGACACAGCACCCGTGCTTGTGGCAAATCAAGGTAATAAGACCTCCCGTGTGAACAATAGCCTGCACCACCACCTTCTGTCTCCTCCCATCAAGCCAATTTTATAGCTGTCTACCATGCAGAACGTCAGCAAGGCGTCCCAACAAAGTTCATATAGACAACATCTACCATTCTGCCCTCATCTATCTGCTTGGTCACCTCTTCAAAAAACCTAATCAAATTTCTGAGTAGATCGTAGATCATAGAATCCCTACAGTGTGGAAACAGGCCCTTTAGCCCAACAAGTCCACACCGAACCTCAGAGCATCCCACCCAGACCCATCCCCCTATAACCCACCTAACCTACACATCCATGAACACTATGGGCAATTTAGCATGGCCAATCCACCTAGCCCGCACATCTTTGGATTGTGGGAGGAAAC